AGTTTTAGGTATGTTAATGTTACAAAGAAGTTTTCAACGTTTTAAGAGAGGTACATCAATAATTTAAAATATTTTAATGACTATTCTGTGTGCAATAAACATAATTCTTCTAAAAACCTAAGTATAGATCAATTTTATAAATACAATGAATCATAATGATAATAAAAAAAATAAATATTCACCTTAAATTATAATATCTTGTAGTGCACAATATAATTGAAAATATAATTCTACATAATAAAATTTCGATTTTTGTCTTATGTCGCACAATTGAAGATGATTCAAATAATGTCACGTAAATACTGTGATGGCGCAACATTGGAAATTATATTTTGCGCTTTTAATTGATACTAAAGAGTTCAGTATAATGACGGTACATTTGATTAATTTTCCATCTTATTTATGAAGAGTACTTAAAAGTGTCTTCTTTCATTATGCTACAATGTACAACAATTAAAAATTACATGCCTAAACTAAAATTGCAAACCATCTTATGATAAAAAAGGACGATGTTTGAAGATTTTCATATTGTTAGTTTTAAAGACATCGTACTAAATGAATCACACATGTTGATAAAGTATCACAGTTAAGTGAAACATAAATGTGTTCTAAATATAGAATTTTTTAAATGACGCGCAAAAAAATACAAAAGAAATCATTAGATTAAATTACACAAATCATTCAAATACGTAGTAATTTTAAAAAGTAATGTATTGAATGAATAATAATATACAGTGCGTTCATACAGAATACTCTTAAATTATAAAATGCAAATTAATTTTGAAAGGAGTAATGTATCCAGTAGGTATGTGTACGCGGCATTAATTCGTCCTATGCACGAAGCGTGTGCAACTTGATGCGATCATTGCACGAAGAAAATTTTGATTGGTCAATCGATCCATAAAATGCGTATGATCCGCCAATGAGAGTAAAATTGGGGGACAAAACTCAGGTTCCCCTGCAATATGGCTGTCAGTATAAATTTGATGCTTGTAACATGCGTTTCTCTCCGAAAAATTTGACAAATAGTCTGTCTATCTGTCGACTTTTTCGAAATACACAGCGTAATGTGATTTTCGGGGAATTAATACAGTGGGAAACGGCTATGCGGGTTAGCTGAAGTGCAGCAGTTAAATAAATTGTATTTTAAAATCAGGTATGTTTAAATGCTCCACGATCACTATTTATTTATATATCCATATTGTATTTATTTATAATATCTTGGAAAATATTATATTGCATTTAATTTCCTTAATTAAAACTTATACTGTTTTTCCCCGAAATTTGCATTATATAGACCTCCGAACATCTGTACCGATAAAAAAACGCGTCTTCACAGATGTCATCTATCATCTTCACTTCATCAATATAACTACGGCAAACTTTCGTTCTTATACTTGACAATCGACGTTTCTTATTTGAAACACTTTTTATCTTTTTACCAAATAAAAAATAAATAGTATGCAATTTGTTTTAATATTTCCTGCACTCCATTTTATTTTGCACAGCTGGAGCATTTCATGTACTTCCTATTAAATCTTTGTAATATCTGAAAATATAATAAAAGTGCATTTTACAATTATTAGTATTTCAAAAACATATACTTTCTTAAATGTTTGTGTTGATTTTTTATAAGTATTATAAATATATATTTATTTGTCAATGATTATTAATCCTTTACATTTATAAAGGAGCATATAATATAATACGTGCACTTTTATTTTGATTTTAGGTACTCACAGCTGTTCATTGATCAACATCACTTACAAACATGACATCAAGGTAAAAGCATTGATAATTGTGTATTTAAAACATAATATGTAAAATTATGTAAATGTTTATAGTAATATTTTTTCAAGTATACAAAAATATAATATCCGTTTATGATGATGATAACTATTACACCTATGTTTAAAAAGTACAATTAATAAATACTTTTAATGAGTAGTGAATTTTTATTTAATTGACATTTTCAAATTTCAGTATTTATTAAACATATTACTATGCCTTTAATATCAGTTAGTAATGAAAAGTGTTTAAATAATACATTCATGTATCAATAGATGCTTCATTAAGCTATAAAAAGTGAAATTAATTTAGTAATATGAGTACATATATAATAATGTATGGATTTCCACCAGGCTGGATAGACTATTTATATTATTGGAGACAGGAACAAATGCAGTAACTAAAAGAGCTGCAGCACAACAATTAGGCGAAGCACAGAGATTACATCCTCATGATTTACATCATTTGCTAGCAAGGGTTTCCACTCTTCTAAAATCTCCACAATGGGATACTAGAGTTTCAGCTGCACAAGCTGTGCAAGCTATACTTGCTCAAGTTCCTGCTTGGGATCCACAACCCATTAAAAAAGAAACACACACTGGTACTTGATTTGACTTATGTTATTTAATATTATAAAGTGTTGTATCCTATTTGTAATATGTAAACTTTATTAATTGATAGAAGATGGAGAAACAAAAAGACCAAATAATAGATTAAATTTAGAAGACTTTGATATGGAAAAAGTTTTAGCACGCAGTTCACATCTCACTGGATCAGAAGGCAGTGAGTATGATTTAATTGCTGCTAATGGAGAACAAATTCCACTTCCTAATCAAGAGGAAAAAATTGCTGTTAAATTGGGTCTTCATCCAAGATTAATGGGAGTTGATACATCAGAATTGTTTACTGCTGAAGATCTTACTCCAGTAGTATTACCACCTACCTCAAATACACAAGCTAAAGTATCTGTGAGTGAAACATTAAAACAACCTGGTGGACTTAGTAGACGTGAAATGAATAGAGCTAGACGTAAAGTAAGATATAACTATTTCATCAAATTACTTTGTTTGTGCTAATACACAACTTTTAACTACTTTATTTGTTTAATAGGCACGACAGTCAGTTTCAAAACAACGTTCACGAGAACCAGATGATCATCGTAACAACGAAGATTATCATAACAATTCGAATGCTCAGTCTCCCATTAATAGTACAGGAGAATCACTAAGTAAAAAAATAAAGTTAGAGGAAGTAATCTCGTCAGAGATCGGTGTTAACTACAATACGCAGACTGAACCAACTAATGGAGTACCAGATAGTACTGGTTGCTGGCCAGATTCTGTAATAGATTGGCCTCTAGAATCATTTGCAGAAAGTCTCTGCCAAGACTTGTTTAGTCAAAAATGGGAAGTAAGGCACGGAGCTGCGACGGCTTTACGAGAACTCGTTAAGCTTCATGGAAAAGGTATAGAAATATGAACAACATTAATTTACAATCAAACTAATAAAATTTAATGCGAATGAAAATTTAACATAGGTGCAGGAAAATCGAGGGATCAAACTGCAGAAGAAATGGCAGAAAGTCATTATCAATGGATTATTGATGCCGCTCTACGATTATTATGTGTCTTAGGTTTAGATAGATTTGGTGATTTTGTTTCTGATCAAGTCGTTGCGCCCGTACGAGAAACGTGTGCTCAAGCACTAGGTTCTCTTTTATTACTAGTGCCAAATCAAAAAGATGAAGAAAATAAAAATAAGGGTATTATAGGGATCCTTTCTGTTATGCTAAAGCTGTTAGAACACGATGAATGGGAAGCAAGACATGGTGCACTACTTGCACTGAAATATTTACTTGCCGTACGAGATGATCTATTGGATGATATGCTACCGAGAGTATTTCCAGCGACTATGCAAGGTCTTTCCGATCCGGTCGATGATGTAGGTGCTGCTGCGGCTAGTGCTCTTATACCAGTAGCATCTGCTCTACCACGTTTATTAGAACCATCAGAATTAGAAGCAATTGTAATTCGTCTTTGGGAACTTTTACGTGAGCAAGATGATCTAGCAGCAGCTTGCAATAGTTTTATGGGACTACTTGCTGCTATACTTTCACTACCTTCAGCACGCGCTTGTCTTACACCTCAGCCATTATCGCAGGTAATAGTCGAATTGATACAATTGCTATTATAATATGTATTGTATTGTAATATGAATCATTCTAGGTTTTACCAAGATTATGGCCATTTCTTAGTCATTCTAGTTCGAGTGTACGCAAAGCCACTTTGCAAACGTTACAAACATTAACCGGAGATGACGGTGCTCATAATGAAAATAAAAAAGAACAATGGGGCGAAGGAGGTGGACTTGTATTGCAAGAAGCTCTTCGTCATGTTTTTCAACGTGTATTAGTAGAACATGTAATTGCCATACAAGATGTAGCTGAACGTGTTTGGGAAAATCTAGTCGTACAGAGCGATCTCGAATTGTTATTGCATGCAGCGTGTCCTCTTGTCAGCACATGGCTCTGCCTTGCTATGCAACCGGAACACGTGCCATTTAATCCGATCTTATTAATGACAATAAGTTCTCTTAATAAGGGAGCTAAAAGTAATCAAGTTATTGGTACTTGCGACGGACAATCAGATACTAGTAACAATGGAGGAAACAATAACGTAGGTGGAAATGTAAAATCAATATCTGAATTGAAAGTTTATATCGGTGGAATCGAAACTGTAGCTCAAAATATAAGAAAATCAAACGTAGTACAAGCTCGTTGTAGAGCTGCACGAATGCTAGGATTGTTATCACATTACGTAGTACAACCAGCACCAGGTGTCACTTACACACCAGATATACCTAGTCCCTCACTTTGTTACGCTAAAGTATTACTGGCACATCTCAACTCGCGTTCGGCATTGCAACGCACTGTTGTTGGTTTGACGATGTCTCATTGGGCGACTGTAAACAATATGAAACCACCTACGATACCAGACATTCTCAGGTATAAAAATGAACCTTTTTATCCTACCTTTGTTTAATATAATATAATAATAATGTATTTGCTTAAAAGGAAGAGACTCTTGGAATGTTTAAATGAATGCGTATACTATGATGAGATCGCCGCATCTTTCACTCGCCTATTACACGACAGCCGTGATTACATTGCCACGCTGAAACATTATAAATTACCCGTTCCTATCGAAATAGATGCATCAGGCGTAATGACACTCGATCAAATTGCAACCCTTGCTGGAAAACCAATTTCAGAACTTTGTGCCATGGGCAATGCAACAGGCTCTGGAGGTCCGAGTGGAACAATTGGCGGCAGTCCCAGTACGATTAAATTAAAGCCAAAGTTGACCGAAAGTTTGGAAGAGAGGCGAAAAGCGTTGGAAGTAGGTGCTGCTGATACAGCAGCTCAACAACTTTCATATAATGTTATGTCAATGGCGGCACTTGCTGGTGCTGCTACGATGTTGCATTGCCTTCCTCCATCTCCTCAGCCTCTTAATCCATTAGTAAAACCATTAATGGAAGCAATTAAACGCGAAGAAAATGAAGAACTACAAAAACTGGCTGCAAAGCATTTGTCGTACCTAGTTAACCTTTGTGTAGATAGAAAACCTTCTCCTAACGCAAAGATATCAACCAATTTATGCACATTCCTATGCTCGGATACTGAATTTACACCTCATGTAAATTGCAATACGGACCCAGATCTATTCGATGGAATTCTTACTTTAAGCAATCGGCAAAAACACGCTGAAAGGGTAGCGTATAATCGGGGAGCAAATAGTGGACTTGGTGGAGGAAGAGGACCTGGTCGGCCACCAACGACTGAAATTCCTTTAGAGGAACTACTTGCTTGCGAAGAACCCGAAGCCAAAGCTGCTAGAATGCGTCGACGCGGAGCTACTTTGGCACTTACTGCTATAGGTTTGCAATAAAGACAGTTATAATAGAGTATAATTACGCAAGGCAAAATATTTATGCCATTATGCCATATTTTTATAGCTACCCTATTTGGTGCACAATTACCTACACGTTTACCACATCTTTGGGAATTAATACTACCAAATATATTACGAGAGGAGGATAAGATCATTGGCCGTGAAAATACTCAAGAAGAAGTAAATCAATTAATTTTTGGTTTACAAGTTTTAGAAGTTATGGCTGCAAGTCTTGATAAAGCTTTACTACCTCCTGCTTTAGAATGCCTATCATGTTTATGTAAATTGTTGGCTCATCCTTACAAAGCTGTTAGACACATGGCAGCACGATGTATTGCCGTATTAGCTACATTAGACACAGAAAAAGTTAGTATAATAATATTTATACGTGACATTTATTATGCATTTCATGATTAACCCATAATTTTCATTATTATGTCATTTAAAAATTTTTATTGCAGATAATAGTACATGTTACACGCAGTGTAATACCACTTTTGGAAGCAACCGGTGGAGAAAAAGTATATTCAACGACTGTAACAGCACCGAGTGAAGTAGATTCAATTAAACAAGGTGCAGCAGAGGCGTTAGCGTGTCTTGTTGAAAGTTTAGGTGTTAATATTGTTCCATATGCTGTACTTTTTATGGTTCCTTTGCTCGGACGTATGAGTGATCAAAATCAGGCTGTACGATTAGTCTGCAGCGCGACATTTGCAACGCTTGTGCAACTTTTACCCCTTGACCCTGGTGCAATTACAGATCCACCAGATTTAGTGTAAGTTTAACGAATTTAATAACCACAAGTGAATTGAACACGTATATTATAAATCTTAACGCAAGTAAATTGGATATGTATATTGTAAATCTTTAAAATGATTTAGAGAGAAGAAAGCTCAAGAGCGACGATTTTTAGAACAACTTCTGAATCCACGCAGTATTCCAGATACCGAATTGCCAATTCCAGTAGCTGCAGAATTACGTTCTTACCAACGGCAAGGCTTAAATTGGTTAAACTTCTTGAATCGTTATCGGCTTCATGGAGTTCTATGCGACGACATGGGTCTGGGAAAAACTTTACAAACTTTGTGTATACTAGCGGTAGATCATCATCGTAATCCTCATGCTCCACCAAGCCTGGTAGTGTGTCCTCCAACACTAACTGGTCATTGGGTCTATGAAGCAGAAAAGTTTTTTGAAGCCAAAGATCTCTCTGTGTTACAATATGCCGGCACACCACCGGAACGTGAAAAATTACGTCCAAGAGTTACTTTTCACAGACTTGTCGTGGCAAGCTATGACATAGTGCGTAAGGATATCGATTACTTCGAGAAACGTCAGTGGAATTATTGTGTGCTCGACGAAGGTCACGTTATAAAAAATGGAAAGACAAAAAGTGCAAAAGCAACAAAACGGTTGCACGCCAATCACAGACTGATACTCTCGGGAACACCGGTGCAGAATGACGTACTTGAACTGTGGTCCTTGTTTGACTTTTTAATGCCAGGTTTTTTGGGCACTGAAAGACAATTTGCGGCAAAGTACTCACGTCCTATTCTAGCCTGCAGAGAACCAAAAGCTGGCCCAAAAGAACAGGAAGCAGGGGCTCTAGCTATGGAAGCACTTCATAGACAGGTAACCTCTTCATACACTTTTTTCTCCTTTCCTTTTCTTTATTTCATTTATATTTCAATATATTTATCATTTAAATTGTCCATAAATTGTTGAACAGGTTTTGCCATTTTTACTTAGACGAAATAAAGAAGACGTCCTGCAAGATTTACCACCCAAAATTACACAAGATTATTATTGTGATCTATCGTCGTTACAACGTATGCTATACGAAGATTTTCGTACTCGACATTCTGCCAGTCTGTTATCTACTTCATCTGCAAATGATCCCCACGGTGGTCATGTGTTCGAAGCGTTGCGATATCTACGTAACGTTTGCAATCATCCGAAATTAGTGCTAAATGCACGACATCCATTATATCAGTCCGTTAGTATCAACTTGATATTTCAACTAAATTGTTTGTTTGTTTGTAATATCAAGTAAATATTTTTTTTTCGTTTCCAGGTATGCAATACATTGAAACAACAAAAGAGTACTTTGGCCGAGATAGAACACGGAGCTAAGTTACCTGCGTTGAAACAGTTACTGTTGGATTGTGGTATAGGACAGCCACAACAGCAACAAAGCCGAAATTCGGTGACCACTGGTGGTACGCCAGATAACCAACCGCCGCAGCAGCAACAATTAGTGAGTCAACATCGAGCTTTGATTTTTTGTCAGTTAAAAGCGATGCTGGATATCGTAGAAAAAGATCTTCTTCGTACACATCTACCAACGGTTACGTATCTTCGTCTCGATGGAAGTATACCAGCAACGCAAAGGCATTCCGTAGTGGCACGTTTCAATGCTGACCCATCGATAGACGTGCTTCTGTTAACGACACAAGTTGGTGGTCTTGGATTAAATCTGACTGGTGCAGACACCGTTATATTCGTGGAGCATGACTGGAATCCAATGAAGGATCTTCAAGCGATGGACCGAGCACATCGTATTGGGCAAAAGAAAGTGGTTAACGTGTACAGGTTAATTACAAGATCGACTGTAGAGGAGAAGATTATGGGACTTCAGAAGTTTAAGCTTCTCACTGCGAATACTGTGATTTCAACAGAAAATGCGTCTTTGGAAACAATGGCAACCGACCAGGTAAAACACATGAATCCTTATATTTTTTTGATAAAAGACATTGTGTACAATTTTACGGTATTATTTTTATTCCTTTTTCTTTGTAAAAAATACTTTGTATTAAAGGTACTGTGTTTGTGCATTCTAACAACAATGAAACTTTAAATAATTGTAATTGTATAAATATTGAAAATAGTTCATTTTTGTATAACATTGTTTCTGTATGAAATAACTTTTTAAGCGATCTATTGCCTTCTACACTTGTCTTGAAACATTCCGTTTTCAAATTGTTATAGAAATATCTATTTATAACAAATGTATATTTGTAACAACTATTGCAGTTACTGGATCTGTTTTCGTTGGACAATAGCAAAGGGAAGAAACCAGAAACACACGAAGATGCTATGTCGAAAATTACTGGTGTCCCAGGCGTCAGTCGTTCTGTCCTAGACATACTACCTGAATTATGGGAACAACAACAATACGACGACGAATACGATTTCGACTCTTTTCTATCCACATTAAAGGCTGATAACCAGTGAGCTTATTGTTTTATGCATCAGTATCATCAAGTACATAATACTGCAACAAAGTTGAAGCGTATTTAAAAATTAATCACATTGTTAAATGAACGTACGTGGATCGGACCTGATAACGAGCAAATGATTCTCTTAATTTCATGGACTGAAAATAACAAATATTCTTTTATTAGCGAAGAAAAGAAAAGATATACGAATTACTTATAAAAAAAAAGAAAAAGAAAGAAAGAAAGAAACTCAGATAAATAACTTGCGGATAATATCGATTAAGTACTATAAGTAAGCGAGTCTTGTTTATTTATAATAACTTATAAAAATGTCGATACAATTACAATTCCGTATTTGTACCAAACGACACCATGGTTCATATTTATTTATATTTATACTAGTCTTTTCCTTTACCACCATTTATTTATACCACCACAACGTACCAATGGTAAAAGTAGCAATGCCGGTTGTCTTTTTGTATTTTCATTCACTACCGAATATTTCTCGATAAGAGCCACTTTCTCGAATGAAAGAACTTCTCGTGCAACAAGTCCCGAACTATCACAGTGCTTCGTTCCCGTTTAGTTCATAGTTTAGACACACATTGCGGATCCAAATTTCCGGCCGCGAATATGTTATGGGGATCCAAGTGTGCTTTAGCTGCTCGATAAAGGTTCACTCCCGCTTCTCCTACTGCATCCGCATAAAAACAGGAACGTAATTTTCCTACACCATGATGATGAGACAAAGAGCCGCCGTTAGCCAAAATCTCTTCTCGTGCAATGTGCTCGATGGTTTCATATGTGTCTATAGGATTCTCAAGATTCTTATAATTGAACGCCATGTAGAAATACACACAACAACCGGCATCGTATGTCTGCGTGATACGACAAGAGACATAATACTGTTCAATGCCACGTGAGTAACACTCCCTGGCCACACGAGATTTCACATTTCTGCACAACGACAACGCACGATTCCAAGAGACAGATGTTTCGAACGACTCAGACAAAATATAATAATCCAGACCAAGATCTCGAATATAGGCTATAACGAACGTCAGAACGTAACCTCGTTCACCGTTTGTTTCTCCAGCCGGGACACCGTTGTGTTGCTTCGCTATATCGTAAATTTTTCGTTCTTGCGCCGCCACTTCTGCAGCCGTGCTACCCTCGAACAAAAGTGTAGCGACACATATTTGGTCCCATTTGAAACGTTTTATCCTTGTAATATAAGCTTGTTTCAATCCTTGTAGAATGAAACCACCCCAGCCGGGTTCTGGCCGCAACACTTGACCGAACTGGAACTGTTCATTGTCCATCAAACGTATGCTAGCTGGTTGACATCGTTCCTTAGCCACCTGTTCACAGAAGCGTAAAATGTTTCTAACTAAAGGAACGTTCGTAAAATACAAGGATACGGATAGTACATATTCTTATTTTTAGCAATTTTACAAAATCTAGAAAATATCACGAAGAAGAAGAGTAGCCTATTGGCAAAGCTCCAAAGGAATGGATAGGATCTAAAATTGAGAAATTCGAATTGAACTATTACCTGACGTAACGCCGACACACCGGTTTGAAAATTTGGGAAAACTACGCTACCGTATTTCACTACTTTTGGTAACGGCCTGATCTTCAACACCACTTCCGTGACTACACCCAAGGTTCCTTCACTGCCGAGGATCATATGATCAAAGTCAGGACCACAAGAAGCTCGCGGTACCAGTATACCCCTTTCCAGCGTTATTTCCGGATCGTCCGTTCTACCAGTGACCATTCTCACTCGTACAACTAGGTCTTCAATGTTCCCATATCGATTCTTCTTCATGCCACTCGCCCTCGTTGCGACCCATCCACCTAAACTGCTCTTTCAACAAATACAAACGATTATGCCGCTGGTAGTTGCCTAACTCTTAGCCACTTAATATAAATAAAACTATTTAATATATCTTTTATCATATACTGAGAAAGTACATGATTTTAATGAAACGACTGACACAACTACTTTCAAAGTTTGATAAACAATTATCGATAAAGAAATTAATTGATATAATATTCTGTTTTTTTTTTTTTTTTCAGCTTTTTAGGTGAATATACAACTTCGTGGTTTTATCCTCCTTTTTCTGACGAGGATAAAGTGCATTTCTAGATGCAATTACATTAAAACGCAAACGGACGTTAATTTTACGACGTTTTATTATATCATTCTGACCTTCGGCTACTCGACGCCTTTCTACCTTTCGCAATTAAATACAGTGAGATTAGCTTACAATAGTAACCTTCCCTGTAATAGTTGGCTCCTATCTAAAGCTGTTATCTTTACCCACCGACTTTATTCTAGCTTATCTGGAGACGCAGTTGTTATAATTCACAAGAATTTTTGGTAGATAAAAGGCTCGTTAAGATGAAACTAATAAGAACTATTCCACCGGGAAGATAGTAGTTATAAAATCTTATTCAAGGAAGAAAAAAAAGAATGACAATACTTTGTAACCAAAAATTCTATCGAAAATACTACAATTCCTGTGTTTCGAAATAATTCTCTTTTTTTAGAGACTACATTGTCTCTGTATAGAGACGAACAATAATCAAACGTAGTACTTGTATGAAAAACGTCGGAAAATTACGAGAGTTTTCAGTAGAAATGAATGCACCGTGACAAAGCAAACTTTCTTTTCCTCTTAATACAATATCGTGTACCTAGAAAATTCGTAAGAATCAGGTTCGTGACCAGAAGTCAGACCTTGCAGTCGGAGTTGTTTTTCAAGATCCTGACCGATAATACCAGACTCGCAGCAGGCAATTAAATTTTCCCTGTCTATCCAAAGTATTCTGTTCATCTGCGACGTGTCCAGCAATATTATCGTCCGTCGCTCGTTCGTTGGGCAAGCTGCAGCTCCGCTCACGCTCGTTCCTCCACCGAATGGAATACAGACTGATCCGTATCGAGCACACAGTTTAATTATTTTCACAACGTCCTCGTGGCACTCTAGAAACGCATCGATACAGACTTCGTTAATTAACAGAGAACGATTTCGCACCCTGCTACGGGCCCCCCAGGACTTTTTTCAATCAATCGTGTTCCCGTTTCCTTTAAACATTTCCCATTTTGCAAAGAAACTTGGGGGAGAGAGAAATCTCGCCTAGTTTGAAAATACGAAAAAAAAAAAAACTTTATTCGAAATTTAATAATTCAAAAAATCCAGAAGCAAGAGATTTTATTTATTTGGAATAGCCTGAGAAATGTGAAATTTTAACTGATTTGAAAGATTTAAGAGATAATGAAATTTTCGCCAATTTGAAAAATTTAAGAGAAATTAAATTTTTCGCTAATGTGAAAAATCAAGAATGAAATGTTTAACGCAACGATAAGGAATAAGGAACACACGTATTACGCAATAATAATTATCATTGTGTTTCTTATAAGAGAAAAAGAAAACTCAAGGCAATTGTAGCAGGGTTAAAAAATGATCTGAATTGTTGTTTTACAGCTTTGAACATTTTAATTTTAGATACTATTCCTAATTTCACATCGGCTGAACGCATACTTATGATAATGAAGATTTCGCCCGGAAAAGAGATTTCTTACTACAAGAAAAAAACTGAAAGTCTGAGATGTTATCTATATAGTACCCATGAAACGTACATAGGTATGTTGATTTTTAAATAAAACTAAAAAAATTCTTAATTTATTCAATATCATACAATGAGTCAAGATAACGCATTTCCATAGATTTATGCACCGGCGTAGTAGAGTTAAATTAGTCACACTCTGCGAATATATTCAGTTGCAGACAAGGATACTTGGTCTCAAGCAGCCAGGAGGTTAAATACCGACCCACTTTGAGCTTCAACATGAATATTGAGATATAATATTCGAAATATATATGTAAAACGTTAAGAAGACGTTGAAAATGATCGGTAGTAACAAAGAGAAGAGAAGAAAAATGATATTCAAATGAGAAGAAAACACCACGGTAAAAATAATTCTCACTGGACAATTTCACATTCGTTTAAGATCATAAAAAGAACGCTAAATCGAAGAAAGTTCAATAGTTCTAACATTTAATAAAAAATAATAAATATATTTATTTCGTCTGATTTTTACAACGATACAAAAAGTTATAAAAATTTGTATATAAAAAAGAAATATAAATATCCTCTTATCTGATATAAAGAAGGAGATGTAAATATTCACTTATCTTAAATACACCCTCTGTGTGTAAATTTTATCTTACAAAAATAGCTTCAGATCAAAGTAATTACACTTGCAATAATAAAACTAATAATTTACTACGTAAGAACGGTAAAAGAAAAATTGAAAGTGATATTCAAGTGAGAAGAGAATATACCACGGTGAAAATAATTCTCATTGTACAATCTCACGTTCAGTTAATTCAACTTCTTTACACTTCATTCGTGATTCACGTTGTAATGGAGAAGCACCTTCTGAAAATTATAGAGTCTAAAGTAAGCCAAGGTTTTGGAATTTTATCGTTCACCTCAAAGCTATCCTAGTCAATATCGCTGTGTATAGCTATAGCAAGTTTAAGTGCAAGAGTATAAAAATACAAGGTATCCTATAGACATCCACTATTGTGAATTATCAGATTTACCAATAGAAAGAAACGAAATGTTACAAAAAGTAAAGTCCGTGCATAAATCTGGAAACTGAATATTAATTAAGAAACTTTTTATCAACTGTCAATAACGTAGGAAATTATTGATATTTATATCTAATATAAACACAAATACGAATAATTTAATTAATTTAATTCAATAAATTTATTATTAATAATAATATGATAAAATAATT